TCTTAGATGATTTCAGGCAGTTCCTCTCTGTTTACCAGAAGACAATGAGGATCAGGGATATAGGAAAAAATGCAAAGCCAGTAAGCGGAGCAATTTGGTCTGGTCCAGTTTTTGCCGAAGGTTTTGCCAAAGGTATGGTGAGGTGATTTAATTTATGCTTGAAGTAATTGGAAATTATTGAAGGATTTTAAGAGAGGAGTTTTAGATTCCTTAGCTTTTTCCCCTAAGACATGGTGCTCCTCTCATTTGTCTTGTTTCTGCGCTACGTCTATTCCTTCTGCGTCTTTCAGTAAAGACATTTTGGGGGTAAATTAACTATGTTCAAATTATATTTAATATTGACAAATGTTTGAAATGGCTATCTCTGGAAATTTGTACATTTACCTCTCTATAATACATCTCCCAAAGTCATCATTTTATAGAGTTGTATTGAGATGTATTTTTATTTTGAAAGAAAGCATACAAACAGCCACAGGTGTATGAAAAGGGGCTCAACATCACTCAACAGGGAAATGCAAACCAAAACCACCATGGGCTATCACCTCACACCTGTGATTAAAAACCATGAAAAAGCAGAAGGTAAAAATTAGGGAGGATGTGGAGAAAAGGGAACCTTTGTGTGCTGTTGGTGGGACTATAAACTAGGGCAGCCACTGTGGGAAACAGGATGTGGTTTCTCAAAACATTAAAATAGAATGACCATATGATCCAGCAATTCCACTCTGGGTGTATATCCAAAGAAATTAAATCACTATGTTGAATAGATATCTGCACTACTGTGTTCATTTTAACATTATTCACAATAGCTAAGTCAGGGAAGCAACCTAAATGTCCATCAACAGATGAATGAAAAAGTGGAATACATATAAAATGAAATATTATTTAGTCTTAAAAAAGGAAGGAAATCCTGTCATTTGTAACAACATGGATGAACCCAAAGGATTCACATAACGGTGAAATGAAGCCAGGCACAGAAGGATAAATACTACATTATACCACTTACATGAAGAGTGTAGATCTTAGAGGCAGCAAGTGGAAAGGTGGTTGCCAGGGACGGGGGGGAAGGGACATAGGGAAATATTAGTCTAAGACAATTAGTTTCAATTATAGAAGATGAATAATATCTAAAGATCTACCGTGCTTATAGTGAACAATACTGTATTGTATACTTAAAAATTTGCTATGAGGATAGATCTTATATTAAGTGTTCTTATCACACACACAAAATAATAAATAAAGAGGGTGCAGGGAAAGATTTGGAAGTGATTTCATGGGTGTATACTTATCTCCAAACTCACTTTGTATGCATTACATACGTACAGCTTCTGGTATGTCAATCAGACTTCAATAAAGTGGTTAAAAGAAAAAAAAGAAATGCATTTATTTGGCAAGGTGCTTTGCAGCATCACCCTAATGCTGCTTGTAGAAACATTTCCAGTGCTCCATTTTCAAGTAAGTTAAACCCTGAAATTAGATTCAGATACTGAAACATCAATGCTGCATGTTGATTCACATATATAAACACATGCTTATGTAGAGAGGCCATTGTTAGATGTGGTCAGTTCTTAGATTAGTCCCTCTGCTCCAGGAGGTTAATCTTTTTTTTTTTTTTTTAATATTTATTTTTGTGTGTGAGAGTGAGAGTGTGAGAGAGGGGGAGGGGCAGGGGGAGAGGCAGACGCAGAATCCAAAGGAGGCTCCAGGTTCTGAGCTTTCAGCACAGAGCCTGAAGTGGGCCTCCCACTCACAGACCACAAGATCATGACCTGAGCCAAAGTTGAATGCTTAACCCACTGAGCCACCCAGGAGCTCCAGGAGGTTATAATGTATTAGAGACCAGTGTGAAATGTGACCAGGTGAGTCACAAGTAGGGTCAGAGGTTGTTAAATTTTGTGGCAAATGCATCCCAGAATATTTTCATTCTTTTGCAGATACGTGTCAAAGCAAGAATTGTACAGGACAAAGTTTAGCAGGCAAGGACTTTATTCAAGGCTGTTTAGGTAGGGGAGAGAGGCCAGAATTAAAGTGTGAACTCAACTCTGCTCAGACAAGGCTGGGAGAGCTTTTAATTGTTGGGGTGTGGAGGAATCATAGGTTGTTTGTGTTTGCTAATTGACCTAACCCAAAGGAAAAGGAAAATCTTCCTTATCTGCATGAGAGAAGGTAGTTTTCTCTGGAGCAAAGTGCCCATGGAAGTTCCTTCTCATGGAAAATGGGAGCTGTCCCCTGATGCTAACATTTCAAAAAGATGGCTCTCAGCTCTTAGATGAAGATATTTCTGGATTTAAAAATGGGCAAGAGCCCTTTAAAAAGATTTACATGTCAAAGGGACAGAGAAAGAAATTAGGGGGTTTTCTAAAGAAAACCCTCTGAGGAAAGGGAGGTCAATGCTCAGAGTTAGGAAGAAGTATGTCTAAAATTTAATCAAACTCAGGTGAACCTTAAGCCCCTTTTGGCTCATCTGCATGCTTGAAAGCTTTCTGTAAACCATATCGTAGTCACATTTTATGTTAATTCAATAATAACAAAACAGCATTTGATAGAACTTAATAGTTTGCAAAATGTTTTCTTACATGTCATTAAAATTTTTTTTATTAATGTTTATTTTTGAGAGCGAGCAAGCGAGCAAGTGAGCATGAGTGGGGGAGGGGCAGAGAATGAGGGAGACATATAAACTGAAGCAGGCCCCAGGTTCTGAGCTGCCAGCACAGAGCCCAACTTGGGGCTAGAACTCACAAATCGTGAGATCATGAACTGAGCCAAAGCCAGATGCTTAATTGAATGAGCTACCCAGGCACCCCACATGTCATTTCTTTTCATCTTCACAGCCACCTGTGAATAGCATATCATTGATATACCCAATCCATATATGAGAAGCTTGATTCTTAGAAATGTTGAGTGAATTAACAGCATCATGTAGCTGATGAATAGTAGAGGAGTTTTTTTTTTTTTAAGTGTGTATTTATTTTGGTGAGAAATAATATTTAGGTGAGAGAGAGAGAGAGAGAGAGAGAGAGAGATTTCCAAGCAGGCTCCATGCTGCCATCCCAGAGCCTGACATGGGGCTCCATCTCACTACCGATATCAAGAGTTGGATGATTAACTGACTGAGCCACCCAGGCACCCTAGTAGAGGAGGCGTTTTAAGGCATCTGACTCCTGTGCCCTCTCCAACCTATCCTTCTTATTTAAGGGAAATCTTTTTTTTTTTTTAATATTTTTATTTATTTCTAGGACAGAGACAGCGTGAGCAGGGGAGGGTCAGAGAGAGAGGGAGTCACAGACTCTGAAACAGGCTCCAGGCTCTGAGCTGGCAGTCAGCACAGAGCCCGATGCGGGGCTCGAACCCACGAACCGCGAGATCATGACCTAAGAGAAAGTCGGACGCTTAACCGACTAAGCCACCCAGGCGCCCCTTATTTAAGGGAAATCTTAAATGTAATAAATTCTTTTTTATTTTATTTTATTATTATTTTTTTACAAATAGTTTATTGTCAAGTTGGTTTCCACATAACACCCAGTGCTCATCCCTACAAGTGCCCTCCTCCATGCCCATCCCCCTCCCCCCCATCCATCAGTCCTCAGTTTTTGTCAGCATTCAAGAGTCTCTCACGGTTTGCCTCTCCCCCTTTCCCCCACTATTTCCCCCCTTCTTCTCCCCCATTGTCCTCCATTAAGTTCCTCCTAATCCTCCTATGCGTGCAAACATATGATATTTGTCCTTCTCTGCCTGACTTATTTCGCTCAGCATAACACCCTCAAGGTCCATCCATGTTGCTACACATGGCCAGAATTCATTGTTTCTCATTGCCATGTAGTATTCCATGGTATAGATAAACCACATCTTCTTGATCCTTCGTCCGTTGATGGACACTTAGGCTCTTTCCATGTTTTGGCTATTGAGAGTGCTGCTGTGAACATTGGGGTACATGTGCTCCTATGCCTCAGCATTTCTGTATCCCTTGGGTAAATTCCTAGCAGTGCTATTGCTGGGTCATAGGGGAGTTCTATTGTTAGTTTCCTGAGGAACCTCCACACTGTTTTCCAGAGGGGCTGTACCAGTTAAATGTAATAAATTCTTAAGAAAAGCAACAAAAAACAATTATTCTAACATTTTCTTTGATTTCAGATGTTTTGTTTCTTTAAATTTATTAATATAGTTGATTAGTAAACAGATAACCACAATCAACTTTGGATGATAACCAGTCGTATTAATTCCCTATTAAAGGTGAGCTTATGAATCTATAAGAACATTATGCAGAAAAAGTAACTCATGAAAACCAATTTCTATTTGCTATAAATATCTAATTGCTCAATTATTTCTCCTTATGCTCATTAAAATATTTCCTGGAGTTTCTTGCTCAAAAATCTCCTCTGGGATATGCCCTAAAATTTTAGCACAAATAAAGGAAGATGGGGGGACTTTTATTCAGGTGTGAATGTTAATTTCATGAGCTATTTAACAGCTTCCAAATGGTGTTTCTCTGTAGCCAGAATCAAATATAAAGATTTTCTTTGTCATGGTTTCAACTTAATTTGAAAATGATTTGGATGATGGAGAGAAGGGCTTGTCTAAACACTACTGCCGAGACTTCTTGACAAAGTCAAGAAAACTGGTTTTCTTGTGTCTTTTTGTTCACCAGCAGCGTCAGACCACTCCCTGTACTAGAGCTGTCAAAGTCTGATCGAGCCTTCCTCCCTTTTGATGCGACGAGCATGTTCTCACTTGGGATTTTTCTTCCAGTCCTTTATGCCTCCTCCTCATCATTCTTCTCTTTTGAAATTTATTGCAGTTTTGATTTCCTGCCATGGTAATGGGTTGTCTTTTATAACTGTGAAGATGAGTGCTTTCATTTGGAGAAAGTCTACAGCATTCCTGTCGGTCTCAGGATAATAGCTTAGAAGCACTATTCATCGAGTTTCTTAACTATGTCAATAGTTCAGGACACCCTGTCATCTATTTTACAGGGTCTGACAGTGTTTTCAATTCCTACAATACAGGTTTGGAATGTTATTGAGGCAAACAGCTCAGCAAGTTTTACAATTGGGTACAGAAGAGGATGGCATCTATAATTACAAAGGTTGGTTGAAAAGGGAGGATGGGGCAGGTTCAGTGTTATATTCTGGTGTCAGTATGATGATAAAAATTTAGAGCTGAAAGGTATCATCTAGTGAGTTTTGCAGTGGTTCTCAACGGGTGTGTGTGTGTGGGGGGGTGATTTTTCTCTTTCCACGCTGGGACATTTGGCAATGTCCTGAGACATTTTTTGTTATCACATTGGAGGAGGCATACTGGCATCTAGTGGGTAGAGGCCAGGGATGCTCGGAGATATTCCCCCATGCACCAGGAAGCCCCAACAACAGAGAATTGTCCAATCCAAAATGTGAAGTGCTAAGGTTGAGAAACCCTGCACATCAGCTGTATTTTACTACTGCTATTTTAATGCACTATTACAAGTAGTACTTTAGTACTACTTATAGTACTTTTCAGTATCTGATATTTTTCTTGTTGATTTATTTTTCCTTGTTATTTCTCTTTACCATGTTAGCCACCTCCATTTCTTCATTCCACTGATCAGTGCTCAGTAAGATTTTCTTTACCGGAAATTATTTATTTCCATTTCATTCGGGTTTTTCCCTGAGGTTTTATCCTGTTCTTTGTAGAATATTCCTGTTTCTTCATTCTGCTTGACTCCCTGTGTCGTGGACTCCCGACACATTTAGATAAAAAAAGAGTGTCTCCTTCAGGAGATGAAACTTATTCAATCCTGTTCTAGTTCTTGGTTGTCTTTCAAACCTTTGTGATTGTCCAAGCGGCCTATTTTATTTTTAGTGGCTGCCAGCAGTTGAGGGAAGACCCCTCAGTGTCCCCAAGATGGTGGGGCGGGGGAGAATCTCAGTGGGCACCTGGATACAAGTTGAATGAAAGCCAGACCCTCATACAATAATTTGAAAGTGTGCAAACGTATGTGACTGCGAGACCGCAAGCTTAAGCCCTGTTGTCCACCAAAGTCAGGTGAAAGAAGTGTTCCCTGGTGGCAGCCACAAAAACGGGGGCCTCAGACATAAAACCAGAGCCTCCGAAGTAAAACCGAGGCTCGGGTGTCAGACTGGACATCTGCCTAAAAAGAGGGGATCGGACATAAGACCCAAGCACCTGTACACCCGGTACCTGACGTAAACTCAGGCATCTGTCGTAAACCGGGCACCTGACGTAAACTCAGGTATCTGACGTAAACCCAGGCATCTGGCGTAAACCGCGGCTCCTGACGTAGACCCAGGCACTTGACGTAAAATCAGGCGCCTGACCTGAGACCCGCGCCCGCAGCTTTTAAAATTTCCCCTCCTGGAGCCCCTGGCGCTGTGGAGGAAAAGGCGAAGGTGGCGCCTGCCACTCTCCCCCCCGAGAGAACTTCAGAGGGCTTCCAAACTCGAGTCAAACCAGATGCCTGCCCCTCGGGTCGAAGCAGCCGCTCGCGCACAGGGTCTGGGCCGCCGGTTCGCCGCCTCCGCGTGGGACCCCGGTGAGTCTGAGCGCGGCCTGTGAGAACTGCTCGGATCTGTGGTCTGTGGGTCGATCTGCTGGACGCCCACCGCGTTGGTTTCCAAAACTAGAGGTTTTGGGGGGCTTGTCCCTCAGGGGCAGGTTTTCAAAGCTGGGAGTGCCTGAGCCGGGGTTCAAACTCTTCACTGTTCAGGGAGAGCCTCCGGTTTTGGGTTCGTCGGTGCTTAAAGGCCCAGGGGCGGGGTGAGGTGGGGGGAGAGTCTGCGGGGAGATTGTGTCCCAGCCGCTCCGGGGCGCTGCTGCGCCCCTGGGTGGCCCTTCTCGCCTTCGCCTGCGGCACAGGAGGCCTTCAGCCAGCTCTGGGGGATTTTTTCCGGAGGAAGTTGTTCATAGGTAGCAGTAGATGTGGTATGTTCCCAGACGTGGCTGAGCTTAGGATCCTCGTACGTCACCATCTTGAACTTGAACTTCTCAGTAAGATTTTCTCGAACGTTCTATATTCCACTGCCATTGTTGCTTTTAACAAGAGAGGAAACTGAGGCCAAGAGTGGGCCAAAAGATTATAGACCAACGTGGTGGTAGTTCGTTGAAGATATTGGTGTCTTGATTTATAAGTCAGCGTCCCATCGTGCTGGGGTCTGAATGCTTTTAAGCAAGGCAGTTGTGTCCACTGGTTTATTTTTAAATATTAAGTGAACAGAAACCGGTATCTTCCGGTCTGTATTCTTAATGGTTCAAGAGACTCCCATATTTCTTAGTGATATTTTCCTGATAGCATTCGCTTAGGTCCCTGGTACAAAAGAACTGTACCCGGTTTTCTGGTTTATTTCTCTGGAACATGTCATGTCATGTGGTGACAGAAAACAAAAACAAACCAAAACTTCAGGAAAATGAAGACTTCATCACATTCATGGATTATGTAAAGATTTGTTCTCATATACTCTAGATACGTTGCTCCAAGAAATTTATAGAAATGGTTTATATTTATAATATTTTTTGTTTTTGTTTTCAATTTAATTAAAACGCATCATAATTTATTATGCTAGTAAACCTCAGCTTGACTTGACTTTTGGTGATCCATACTTGATGGGGAATTCCTGGAGTCTTGCTGATGTCCATCTTGATTACAACTCCTAGAAAACATTTTTGTTTCTTCACATATGTTGTATGTAATCAGAAGGAGTTAGTAGTCTGCAATGGGCTATATATTTTGAATTAAGCTAGTGAGGTATAGTTTAAGCACCTTTACTGTGGAATCAGCCAGTTAGATACAATTTAACAACTTTCTAAAAACAGAGCAGGGATCTAGCCACCATTTTGAATGAAACCTTTCTGTTTTAACTTAGACATATAATAAAAAAATTTTTAAGTTTTATTTGAGAGAGAGATGAGAGCATGAGCAGGGAAGGGACAGAGAGAAGGAGAGAGAGAGAGAATCTCAAGCAGGCTGCATGGAGCCTGGTGTGAGGCTTGAACTCAGGAACTGTGAGATCATGACCTGAGCTGAAATCAGTCAGATTATCTTAACCAACTGAGCCACCCAGGTGGCCCTACACATTTATTTTATATTAGTGTTTTGTGACTTCCAAAGCATTTCCTTTCTTAATCTTTATAGTGCCCTTTTTAGGTATGTAGGGAAATATGTTCCTAATTCAGTATACTTTCTACCACATCATACAAATTTATCTCTGAATAACCCTAACCAGACTGTAAGCTTTTGTAAGGCTGGAAGCACATTTTATACCTCTTTGCATCACCTCAGTGCCCTTAATAGGAAAAAGTAAATGTGTTTTGTTGATTTAGCCATTGTAAAAATTTAATACAGGGGAACTCCAAATACCGAGACGACATGCAAGATTTGGCAAACTCTTTTAGGATTAAGCAAATTCTAAATTTTTAGGACCCCAATTGGTTAATTCCCAATGTATGTTTGAGATGTGAAAACTAGGGAGTTAGTATGAAATATCAGTCTCTGAATGCCTGTTTAAAATTCAGTTTTATTTCACCTCTTGAAACCTGGTCTGCTCCTTATAATGTTGAAGGTAAAATCACAAGAAATCACTATGTTACTTTCAAAGGAATATAAGAATTGGCTGCCATCTAGATTCTCCAGGAATTGCTTTATTATTGTTTTAAAAATTTTATAAGAACATGTAAATGTATGAAGAGACAGTCTTTCTGGAAATATCAAGCATAGGACCAATGCTGTTCATTGTTTCATTGTCACTGAGCACTTTTGAATAGATACGATTTTTAGCCACTTAAAATATTTCACCACATTTGAGAGTCAGTACAGTGTTAAGTGCCCTGGGAATAAAATTATGTGGTTCTGAGTCCTGATTGTGATAATAAGCATTTGTTTAAATCTCTGCAACTCATGATAATTGTACATATTTCACATGATATTTATAAAAATTAAATGAGATGATATGATTGTACTTTATAAATTGAAAGGCATTAAAAAGCTGACTGTGATTTGTTGGAAATTTGAGGAATGGTCAACAATGATTTGCATAATAAATTACTCTAAGACTTAATGGTGTGAAAAAACAATCATTTCATTTGCTCCTGTTTTCGTGGCTCAGGAATTTGGAAATGGTTTGACTAGGCAGCTCTTGATTGGGTCTGTTGTGCAGTTGTGATCACATGTTGGCTATTACTATAGTTGTCTAAACGCTTGACAGGCAGGACGTCCAAGATGGTTCACTCACATGACTTGGAGCTGAAGCTGATGGCTAGGTCTCATAGGGACTGTAGCTGGGGCTATGCGTAAGAGTTTCTTTCTTGACTCTTCTTCTCTAGCATGGTGATCTCAGGGTAGCCATTGATTAGATGAATTCCCTAGAATGAGTGTCCCAAGAGAACCAGATGGAAGCTGCCTAGCTTTGGAGGGCCTGCAGCATCACTTCTGCATCCCATTGGTTACGAGCAAGTCCCTGATATTTAAGGAGGGAGGATAAACTCCCATCTTTCAATAGGAGCAGTACTAATGATAAAGCGGACATATTTTAAAACCATCTCTTGTCATTAGGAAATCCAGAGTGTAGAGAGAAATTAAATGGGCATGTTTTAGAAAATGAGACCATATATTTACGAAAATTTTAAAGAATATTTTCCTGTTCCTAATTATATTCTGTACCAACTTTTTTTTTTTTTTTTTGATGTTTTGGTGGAGGTGGTGGTGGGGTTTCCCACCTTTTGTAGAGATGCATGTTGTTCTCTAAGAAAATTCTCTATGTGCTATTATTTGAGAGGATGACCTATCCCTGGATATCTTCTTTGTCACTTACTGGGATGCACAGTTGCTTTTTGTAGAATTTCATTTGGTTTACTTATTTGAGGTTTGTTGGCTTAGCTATTCTCAGGAATTCTATAATCAATAGGCAAATATTCCTAACCTTTAGGCAGGTTAATAACCTATGACTTGCTGCTATTATTAGCATGTATCTTATTCAGAGCCCAATTATCCCAGCAGGTGATTAGGTTTTATCTCAGGCATCCCAGGTGGGGATTTTCCCAGCCTGTTTTGTAGCAATTCCCCAGGTACCTCACAATCACATCTTCTCTGTCTGGTGCTCCTATAAGCTGACTGCCAGGTGCAGTTTACTCTTCCAAAGAAGGATTAGCTTATTTGCATTCATATGTGCTTTGTCATGTAGAAGGATTGGCAGGGAAAGTTGCTGGTGGTGCAGTTCCTGCCCCCAGGTGAAGCCAAACCTCTCACTGTGAAGTCCAGTGGGCATATTTTGAGGAGGCTGACTGGCAAAGAGAAGATTCTGCTGTTGCATTGTTCCCAGCAAAAAGCAAATCTTTTCTGTTAGAGCTTCAGAATTTCTATAATTAAGTTAAGACAGTTGAAGGAAGTGATGGTTCTTGGGAGAAATATGTCAATATGTGTGTTTCATAGAAGAATAGGACAGTGTAGCTAGATATCATCTAGTGACATTTGGGGAATAATGTTTTTGCGATTGTTGTTGTTATTGTCATTTTATTAATTTCATCTGTTTTAGTCAAACCTTTTGTTAGAGCTCTTCTGACTCTTGAGAACCCCTTCCACTGGACCCATGTGACAGTAGGTTCTCACGACATCTTAGAAGCCACACATCTACCACCATGAACTAGCTGGGAAAATTTCCACCATATCTGGCAGCAAGGGAGAGATTTGAGAAAGCAGATGCTGTCACAAAACAGTTTATGGTTACCTTACATTGATCGCCAAGAATGTTCATATTGACCACTCTCTTAACATTACTTATCAATTATGGTGAAAAAGTCAGTTACTGTGGCAGAAAGAGTTCAGGCATAAGATGGTGTCTAGTTTGATTTCTTCAAATTCTTCTAATTCATGAATGTGGGACCAAGGGCAAGTCATGCAACATCTCTAAACTTCGGTGTTTTTAACTATAAATTGGAGATTTATTAATGATTTATGAGTTCATTGTCAACATTCAATAAAGGGCAGTGCTCAGTGGTCAAATGAATGCTGGTGAATCAACTGACCAGATGATAAATGAAGCCAGGTTGTGGCAGAGGGTGAAGGGTAGTTGGAAATGACTAAGTAGAAATATTTTCCTCTGATGCGGTGGAAATATTAATATTAAGTTAAACCATTTGTTTGAACTAAATAAAATTAACTTTTGCTTTTTAAACATCAAAGTAATCAATCTGAGAATAATTTGTATTCCTTATTGGATTAGTCAGGAGTTGATCAGGAGAAAGGAAATTAGTTTAGGTATTTCATACTGGAAGGGAATGAGTGCAAGGGATTAGAGGCTTTCAAAATTAGAGGAAGGGATAAGGGAGAGAATGTCTGTTGTAAGTTCAGGAATTTCAGGATATCTCTACCAATGAATCCATTTGCCCACATCCCTGAACTTGGTGATATTTAGGAGGACGTTTTGAAAGGCTTGGCAAATTGTCACATCTGCCTTTTGCTGAAACCCTCACTTTGCCCGTCATTGGCTTCAAGGGAATCATTAGCTGGCTGTTTTTCACCTTTCAAATCTTTGTGGAGTGTCCCTCGCTTTGGTTCAGAGGACAGGGAGGTAGATAAATATTGTTTGGAAAAATTGTATATGTGGATTGGTATCTGAAAATAACTTTGTAAACTTGAACATGCTCTATTATGGATTTTTCCACAAAAGACAGCATTTGCTCCATGAGATTTATCCTTTAGAAGAATTTAACTGGAAAATAGTAAACTGATTAAAAAAATATAGGTGGATACAAATTCATTTTGGATTACGTGCCTTCCAAATTACTGCTTTGTAGCCGACAGTGAGCTGCCATCCAAAGCTTTGCTCTGGGCGGGGTTGATGAGGAAACCCAACGTGCTCCCCAAGGCCAAGCTGCTGGTCTCTTCTGAAGGGTGGGTTCTCTAGATCTTTAGCTCCTGGGCCCTACTTGTACAGAAAAGTTGTTAGGTAATCAGCTTTGAGCCAATAACCCAAATCCAGTAGACATGTGAACTGCTTTGCAATCTGTGATGATAGTTTGAGTAATTGACAAGATGGTACATTTAATTTATTTAAATTAAATTAAATTAAATCTAAACTCTATTTAGAGTGAGAACAATCCATAAAAAATTCTACCACTTCAGGTTGTTTTTTCCTTTTAGAGACTGCTCTCTGTAAATATGGTGTCAGGGAGGGAAGGCATGGAATGGAAAGGAATACTCTTGTTTCAGCTTTGATTAAAAGCCTTTTTTTTTTTTTAAATACCACATTCTTTATTTCTGTAATGACTTACCCACCAAAGATAGGTTTGTATGTTACTATAATTAATGTTTTTGATTTCTGAATCCTTAATTACATCTTTGTGTAGATCAGTGGAGCAAAGAAATGTGCTCAAGAAACGTGGCAAAATAAGCTTCCCTTTTTTTTTTTTAATTTGCTTTACAATGTCAATTTGATAAAAAGACTTTCTGATGTAACTTGTGCTAAGCTTTGGGGGTTACAAAGATGAATGCTTTGAGGGTTAGCACCCTTCATTGAAAATTCTGTACCCATGTTTAGACAAAGCTCTCTCCTTTTTTTAAAGCTTATTTTCTTTATTTTTGAGAGAGAGAGTGTGCGTGCATGAGCGTGAGTGAGCATGTGTGCATGAGCATAGAGGGATAGAGAGAGAGAAAGAGAATCTCAAGCAGGCTCTGAGCTATCAACACGGAGCCCAGTGCGGGCCTCAGTCTTAGAAACCATGAGATCATGACCTGAGCTGAAATCAAGAGTTGGATGCTTAACTGTCTGACCTACTCAGGTGCCCCAAAGCTCCCTCCTTTTTAACAGCCCAGCATGTTTATTGGTGCATTTCAGTGCGTTCTTCTTTGTGACTCCTTCCTTAAATATAATGACCAGATAGAGACGCATTGAGCCTGCCTCATCCTGTGAGGATACTGTCTCTATCTCCATTTCCTGATTTCCTTTCTGTAACTGCTTGTCCATAACGTATCAGTTATATCCTTGATTGCCAAAACACTAAAGGAAGCAAGCCTTTGTCCTAGAGAAAGTATAGTCCCATATAATTGGGCTAGAAGTAGTGATTTAAGTGATTTTTGAACTAGAAAGATGTAGAACCATTTTGGGCATTTCTTTGTTTTAAGACATCTCAGCCACCTTTAAAGCTCTATTAATCAGTCCTCCTTTCTATCCTAGCCCTGACTGCTGACCCTGAGCTGGCAGTAGAAGTTAAGACCGTCTATGAAAGTGATTTGGTGTTACTTCTGTATGGGTAAAGACCAGAATCATGGATAAAGACAAAGAAATCGAAATCTGATGGCTCCCACAAAGTAGAAATTAAAATTATTAAAATTATTAGGGGTAATGTTTTATGTGTATCCTCTAATGAGTAGAGGCAGCTGGAGTTCTAGAAAGCTTAGATTTTTTTGTGTGTGTATAGCTTTTATATATGTTGCCCATAGACTTTCACACTGTTAAAAAAAATTTAAGATGATACTATAGTTCTTACATATTGTGCTTTCCTTTGAGAGTTTATTGGGCAGTTACCATATTTTAAATGTAATCTATATTTGTAATATGAGATTACAAATGAGAGCTCATGAGAGCTCCCTAAGATCACATTTAGCAAGGGGTGTCCATTTGCCTTCAAGGTCTATGAAAGAAATGAACCAAAACATCAGTTAATGGGGCAATTGTGATACCCATAATGTTTGAGCACTTGCTGATCAGAGTGGTGCTGAGAAAGAATGAAAGGGAAGAGAAACAAGCAGTCTTTACTCTGTCCATACTCTTCCTTGCAAAATATTGTATTCTCATCTCCATTCAGTTTCTCTGCACTTGTGCACATGCTTGTTTTTCTTGCTAGATTATAATAACCTTTAAAAAAGACTTAGTTCATTCTTCCGCCTCACCTCAAAGCACCTAGTGGTGCTCCTTGAACACATTTCAATAACTCAGGAGCAGGAGGTAGACTTAATTATTTGTAATACTTAAGCTAAATGATGAGTACGCTTTGTAAACCACCGTGGTTAGTGGAAAAATTCAGGTAATTAGGTTATCATGACACTCTCAATGGGTTGAATGGTGACCTGCAGAAAGATATGTCCAAATCTTAATACCCAGAAACTGTGGATGTAATCTTATTGGGAAAAAGTCTTTGCAGATGTAATTAAGGTAAGGATCACGGGATAAAGACATCAGCCTGGATTGTCCAGGTGGGCCCTAAATGCAGTAAGCTTCTTTTAAGAGACACATAAGGGAGATTCAAAGAGAAAAGCGGGGGATGCAGCATGACTTTGGAGACAGGGATGTCTCCAGTCAAGGAACAACGTTGTGGGCAGCCATAAGAAGCTAGGAAAAAGAAATGGAATGGATTATCAGTCGAGCCTCTGAGGCAGTGAGGTCCTGCTGGCATCTTGATTTTGGACTGCGGGGCTCTAGGACTGTTAGAGAACAGGTTTGTGTTAACTGACCAAGTTTGAAGTGATTTATTGCCACTAACCTAGGAAACTAACACACCTCAGTTCTCGACGAGTCCCTCCAGAAACTACCCTCCCTGCATTTGGAGCACCTGTGGTCTTCCTGATGTTCCTTTCTTAAATGCTTTACAGCTCCATGCTGGAGGGCTTCTCAGCAGAGATTCTGGGGACAGGGGAAACCTGTTCTCACCGAAATCGAGACTATAGTTGCTCACTGTCCAGAGAACAGCTGAGCCCCAGAGTTGACGGCTGGGGAGAGTAGGTGCTGCTGTGATAACCTTCTGCTTTTTGAATCATCTGCTAGAACCCTACATTTATTGTTGTTTGGAATTTAATCCCTGTAGGGAGACAAGGTATTTTTAAACAACAGAGACTGTTTCAAGATAACAGCTGAACACACTGATGACAGTGCAATAGAGAAGGAAATCATAGGGAAGGGAGTATTTGTATGTAGACATATACTTGTTGGAGGAAGTAAGTCCATAGCTGGACTGTGATAAAAAAAAAAAAAATAGAGGGTTTGAATAAGCAGCAAGTAGAAAGGAATATATTTTAGGTGGTGGCACAGAAGAATGAATAAACAGAAGGGATGGAAACTAGTGTTTGCTTAAAGAGGAGATCAGGAGAACTATGTGGAATGCTAACTGAACTGCCCTCAGAAGAATTTGGTTTTATTAATCCAGAGGTGCACTGAGGTTTGGTGAGCAAGGTAGTGAGGCTATAAATCTTTAAGTGTTATCACCAGTGAGATGGGTGACATTGTGGGTCTGCTACCACATCCAAGTCCCCTTCTTCAGCATCTCTTTCCTGATGCCTCTAGGCAAGGATAAGTGCCCCCTTTCCGTGTGTAGCTCATGTGTAATTCCATCACTGCTGTGGCATATACTTCTATGTGGTTTGGATTCCTCCTAACTTCAAAAGGTCCCCAAGGAAAGTGTATTCAAGCACCTAGCATTGGGCCCTGCTTTCAGCAGGCACTCCGGTACTACTTCCATTGAACTCACCTGATTTTCAGGAGTGAATCCCTTAGAAGATTAAAGACCCATAGTCCAGCTATAAAGCTGTTGTACAGCCATAAGCTGTACAAAAGAGTTTTAAGGTATTTTTCATGCTTGATCAAAGCATGACCATGGTACCTCGCTTGGGAAAACATTTTTCTTTTTCAGCCTCTGCACATGGCCCTCTTAAGTGGAAAACATGTCTTCACTGAATCAACGTCAGGTTCAGGGGAAATGTGTGGCAAAAGGACAGGGAATTGCCACTGTTTATGGAGGACCTGATTGTGTACTGAAGTTGAGATCATAGGCTAGAGAAGAGTTTTTCTTATTTGGATATTGGTGAGCTTGTATCCTGCCTACTTTCTTCTAAGTGTGTAATGTGCTAGGGTGAGGGAAGGAAGGAGCCTGGGACCAAAGGTTTACAGGAGGGATTGACGGGAAATGTGCCAATTACTCTGCTCTCTGGGAGACATGAATGGGAGACACAAAGGGATGTGTAGGATGGGGTTAGAGAGAAGAGCATAATAACCTAACAGTTAGCCTGTGTGCTCTCTTTGCTGTGTGAACTGCTGGATGACTAGAGAAAGCATTTGTTGTGAGGGAGGCACAAAATGCAGTTCCTGCCTTTAAGGCAGTGGCTGAGAGACAGGAGAAGTATCTATGTTTGAAGTTGTACTTCCTGGCTTTTGTGTATCTGAGCAGTTTGCAGATACCAAACACAGCTTGGGTGGTAAATTTCCCCTCTTACCATGGCTGCGTCTTCATACTTATTAGTAACATAGATGCATTGCCTGAAACAGATTTCCAAGTATCTGAACTTGTTCAGTCCTTTAGAAAAAATGGAGAATAGTTGGAAGCTGATAAACTTTAATGCCACCAATTCTACATTTCACCTGTGCCACTTTCCATGCTGGGTGTTGATATCTAGGCCTCTTTCCCTTATTAGTTTGGGAACTGTCAGGCATATAAATATTGGTTTTAAATCTGGGGTTAACCCATTTACATACAGAGTGATTTGTTGGAACATATGATAATTTGTGTCTTCTTTTGAAAAATTATATCCTAATAATAGTCCTCTACCCTCTTCTAATGGGAGGCAATTTAGGCTCAATTCTCAGTGTGATGAAATGACCATATTATACTTTTCTACCTATCACCTTTGTCTTATCCTGGAACTGGACTTAGAAGACATTTAGTTTAGCATGTTTATTTGCCTTTTAAAGGATAAGCAGATTGCATTTATATACCTCACTGAATCATACATGCAGCATGGTTCAACAAAGTAAAATATTCACACAATATATTTTGAATTTAATAAAATGCTTTCATTCAGTGGGAAAGCCAGTTAAGAGTGTAACGACATGGGAGTTTTGGAAGTGATGGCATAATAAGATATTTGTTAAACTCTCCTGAAGGATAGGCATAGATATTTCAATGTTTATTATCTCTCAGTATTTGCTGTTTATGTGACGTGTGTAGTACAATTATCTACTAAAATGTATTTTCACTTTGTGTTGGAAAATCAAATATTTTATCCCCTAACATCATCAGTAAGCTTTCTTATAAGATTTTTAAAGAAAAAAGAAAAGTAAATCTTTATATATCCACCAGAATATCCCAAATGAAAAATACTAACAGTTTCTAGTGTGGTTGAGGATACAAAGCAACTGGAATTCTTTTATTTTTTTAAGTTTATTTATTAGTAATGTCCACACCCAACATGGGGCTCCAACTGACAACCCTGAGATCAAGAGTCATATGCTTTTCCAACTACCCAGGTGCCCCACAACTGGGATTTTTATGCACTGTGGATAAGAGTGTAAATGGGTATAACCACTTTGGAAGACCGTTTGATGCTATCTGCCAAGGTAGGTATATACACAGCCTTTTAACCTAGTAATTTCATTGTTAGGTATAGAAACTGAAAGGCCTATGTATATTCACCAAAAGACATCTACTGGAGTGCTTGTAGCAGGACTCTTTGTAATATCCTCAAGTAGGAAACCAGTCAAATGTCAATCAAGAGTTGAATAAGTAAACAAATACCTGTAAAGTATCCTGCTGTAACAAGAGTGAATGGAGTATTGCAAATAGGTGACAACAGGAATAAATCTAACAAACAATACTGAGGTAAAGAAGCTAGGTGATAATATATCTTAAATAAAATAAAAAAATAGGCAAACTGATCCATGGTTTATGAGTTCAGGGAAGTGTTTAACTTAGGGCGGTAACTCAGAAGGGCGTATAGGGCCTAGGAGAGAGGGGACTGCTTAAATGCTGGTCATGTTCTAGATCTGAGTGATGGCTCCATGGAGTTCACTTGTGAAAATTCATCAGCCCTCACCTTTTGGTTTTTTAAATTTTTGTAGGTTTTCTTGTTTCAAATTTATTTTTTTGTCAGTCTACCAGTACACTTTTGTTGATATTATATTTATATTCTACTTAATAGGACATTTATAAAAATGGATATGAACCTAATGCTATGCTTATTTTGGTGTTATTAACCTCAAAATAATTGGACAAAATAGTTCTGGCAATTGGAAGAAAAAATATTTGAGAGAAATTAGAGGGAAAAAAATCCCCACAATTTGATTAAATTACCATTTAATTTTTTTAAAATGTTTATTTATTAGAGAGAGAGAGAGAGAGAGAGAGCGCAAGCAGGGGAGGGGCAGAGTGAGGGAGACAGAGAATCTGAAGGAGACCCCAGGCTCCGAGCTGGTAGCACAGAGCCTGACGTGGGGCTCAAACTCAAGAGCTGTGAGATCATGACCTGAGTTGAAGTCAGAGGCCCAACTGACTGAGCCACTCAGGTGCTCCAATAAGTTACCATTAATCAGATGTTAAGAATAGTTTTAGATTAGGAGAGAGAACTTTT